GATAATTATTGGACTTTGTATGTGGTAGATAATTCAGTCACTAAGAATATAAACTCAGTATCAACCCTCTATGATATAACCATTAATACACGGAGGAACGTGAAACATATTGGTATAGATCTATACGGGTCGATAGCCCCATTATGGTTTCTTGCTACAACCATCTATTGATGGGTCAAAACAGGCATAATTGTTCTTTCTCTTATTACAAAACGATGTAAGTGATGTGCTTGTGATAATTGAGGAACCTCTATTCACAGTGCTCTACAGAGGCTTTCTCAGTCACTAGTGTCAGCTTTAGCCTCAAATTAGAACCCAAAAATTCATTCTAGAATGTGTAGGAAAAGATAGAAAGAATCATTCTAGAATGCGTAGATATACAAAACTCTCTTACTTGTATAGGTTTACAAGGGTAAGATGTGTTGTATTTTGTACTTTTATGAATCATTTTTGACATGCACTCTTTATTATAAAAAGACAAAATTATAAGAATGGTCTGTGTGGTATGTCAAAACTTGCATATTTGGACCAAAAATGTTTGGACTAGCATCAGTGGTCCAGAAGTTTCATTTTCTTGTGAGTTTTATCCATTTTGGTTTCAGTTTTTTTTTGTGAAGACAATTTTGCCCTTATTATTTAATTTTCCATTTTTGTTTTACTACCAGGAATTTAACAATTAAAATTAAAACAAAAATAAAATACCCTCTCTCTCTTTTTCTTTCTCTCTCTCTCTCTCTCTATCTATCTATCTATTTATCTCTCTCTCTCTCTCTCTCTCTCTCTCTCTCTCTCTCTCTCTCTCTCTCTTTCTCTCAGTTTGTTCTTCAAAACTCAAGAACACACAAAGTTATGGAAAAACACTTTAACTTTTATGGCTTTGTTCTTCCCAATACACACATGTACACACAATTAAGAATACATAACACATACTCTTATAAACATATACCTACTGAAGAATACTGCTTGAAACCCATTCTAAAATGAATACCACACACAAAATATGGGTTTGTTCTTGAGTTTGTGCCTAGATATTTGGGATTATTCTTGACTTGTTAAAACAAAATAAAAACCATTCAATTCGTCATGTGGATTGAAGAACAAAATCTATTTAAATCAAGGATTATATCAAAAACACACTCAGATCAATGCAATCAACTTTCCTTCTCAAATGGACCAGAGGCGGATCTCAAGTTTGGTTTACCTACACAAATGGATAAGCAAATCTAGCAACACCCCCACTACCACCGTTGCTTTTTCGTCTTCGGCCATGTCTCGGCTTCAGGCCCAGGTCATGGATTCTGGGGCAACTGACATTGAATCCGATGATGATGGTCTTGACTTTTGATTTGCCATACCTCTATAAATAGCAAGCCTCCCCTTAATGTTCACATCCTCACACATAAACAACTATACCTTTCAAAATATGAGTTGATACATGCACATTTGTTTCCCTTTTAAATAGTTTTAAGAACTAAAGTGCTTCTCCAACCACCACCGCTAGAGATAAGTCATCGAAAACCCTAGCAATCAACTTTCACCATCATTCTGGCGAACGATAGGGTTTTAAACAGAGATGTTGTAGTAGAATGAGAGAGACGAATTTATTGCTTTCTTGTTTGTTGAGGTGGGTTTTGTAGAGGCAAAGTAGGGTGGTTTCCGATCTTTTGTTGAAGTTCTCTTAGGGGTTTGTTTCTTTGAGACCTATGTGGTTGAGCTAGTATCGGCAGTTGATGTTAGGAGAGTGGATGTGTTGGATTGATGACCACAAGAAAGATCAAATATAAAGACACACATCAATTCACACTTATAAACCTAGAAAAAGACAGGCCCTTGTAGTCTTCTTGATCTTTCCTTACTTGAAAGGGTCTTCACATGTCTTTCTAATTCTCAAATGGAGTTGAGTTTACTCGATGTGGAGAGATATGGAGAGAGAGAGAGAGAGAGAGAGGATATTTTATTTTTGTTTTACTTTTTAATGTTTTTTAATTGCTTGTAATAAAACAAAAATGGAAAACTAAATAATATGGGCAAATCATCTTTACAAAAAAGTTCAAACCAAATTGGACCAAACTCGCAAGAAAATAAAACTTTTGGACCATTGATGCTAGTCTAAACTTTTTTGGGCTAAACATGCAAGTTATGACATACCATAAGGACCATTCTTGCAATGTTGTCTTATAAAAATGCACAAAGTTAGAATGATAAACAAAACTTCTTTACTTGTATACGTTTACAAGATTAAAACATGTTGCATTTTATAATTTTGTAATTCATTAGTTTAAACATAAACTTGATTATAAAAACACTAGGATTCAAAGTTATAAACATAAATCTTTTTTACTTTTATGTATTTTACAATGGTCAACGTGTTGCATTTTTAGAGTTTTATAATTCATGAATCTAAAAACAACTATGATTATAAAAACATACAGAGTCAAAACCTATAAAGTTCACCAACATTATTGTTAACGTATTGTTTTCAAACGTATGCATCTTCAGGATCGTAGGAGCTGGAAACACACTCTATGTGCCAGGGAATAATATATTTCTTTGGTTGGCTGAGCTGCTCGGCCTTTTGTTTAATTTTTTACTTATATTTGTAGAGCTGGTTCTAGTATTTTAAAGATTTGTTAGATTGATGACATTGTAATTCTTCGTACCAAAATTATGGAAGAATGCAATGATTGTATCATTCAATATATGTTGTGAACTGTGAGCCAATGTTTACATCGCAACCCTGACGTTTCCGCCGTTGGTTAGGGTGTGACACCATAGCTCTTGCTGCCCAATCTTATAGCATAATTGTTTTACCAAAAAAAATTCCTTTTTCCTTAACCAAAGAAAATAGGGATCTAAATTCTAAAATCTTAAACGATAAAACACTTTCATATAATCATTCTTTGTGACACATAGTGACGTATACACAATTTTCACATATAATCATTTATTTTTAAATAAACAAGCATAGTCACACCTAGTGACGACTTACACTTTTTCATATAAAAACATTTTGCTTTGCTATGTACTAAAAATCAACATGTACTCACATGGCATGGCTAGAAAGTGATGACTAACTTGCACTCTGATCTTGGATCCTATGTTGCTTCGTAACCGGCTTGCATGTCCATAATTGTTTGGATAATACACGAGGTTCCTTGGAACTTGTGCAGACATACTATCACAACTATTGTAAGTCCCAAAAGATGAACCAACTAGTAATCAATCGAAATCACTAAGCAATGGCGGAATCAATGCAAAGTAAATCAAGAACAAATGCGTAATCAACCCAATGCACACGATTATATTGATGAAATCGTCTAGTACAACAGAGATCTTCACAATGGTTGGCCTTCACAATGATATGACAGAAAAGCTAGAAAAAAACTGACCATATGAGTCTCCTTATATAGGGAAGACAATTAAACAAGGAAACCCTAAACCCAACACGCCTAAGGACCGAAATCAAGATTGCTTTCGGTCCAACCCTAACCGAAAACCCATATTAAGACTCAATAAATGAATAACAAAACCTAACATGTACATGCCTAGCACAAACCAACAAGGTAGGACCTAACACCTACTATAGTGGTTCTTTATTCGACCATTAACCAAATCCAGTAACTGTTTGTTACCAAACTCATCAAGTCCCGTATTATAACTGCTAGACGACTTAACCCCGTAAATTGTTAGTCTGATCACTCACTTCTGGTCATCCCTTAACATACAGTTTATAACCCTCATTGATCGGATTAAGAATCCCACCATGGAATTCGACTACCAAACATTCCGAAGAGCCGTAGTTGCTCGAAGTTCACGTAGGATAAAGGTACAAAGAAAGACAACACACATGTATATATAGGAATTTGTCAGACACGTATCACCCTACTAGTGTCATCCTGGAATTTGCCACAGGTCTCCATCTTCCGACACGTATCCCGCCACCGGGACAACTAGACGTGTCTCGTGTTTGACTTTTACTGCTTTTTCTCAAATGGCAATGCACTTTGTATCTCAACTTCGGACGACCGTAAGTTTCTCATATGGACTACGATTCTTGCAAACTTTATATCCATGAAACTGTCTCCTTGTGAACTACGGTTTTCTTTTAATAATCATTCACTGATAGATTTAAATTTTGTGTTAATCATTTTCTTAAGAAGTAAAAAAATTTCGGCCATTACATGTGGAGGATAAGAAACCCAACCGATTGGATGGGGCTACTGCTAGTTTTTTGTTTGTGGGCATGCTATTGCTAACTGTCACTGCCTCTATTTTTCGGTTACCAAATAAGTATCATTAGAGATGCCGAGTTTTCCTTATGTTTCGTCGATTTTGATGGTTGAGAATGACTCGTTCGTTTCTATTATAGAAGAAGCATGGAGTAGGATTTTGTGAATGTTGGTAAGGGAGAACGATGTCAGATGATACTCGCAATCCAATCAAACAAAGATGAGATGCCATTTATAGTGTAAATAACAAGATGTTTGTTCAGTACATTTCAGTCGGGATCGAGATTTTCAAGGAGATCCACCATTCTTTTTATCTCGGAGTAGTAGGATGTTGGACGTAAATGAGTCACGGAAAAGCTTCTCTAGATGATCATATGACACAGCAATATGATCGGTGACATCATATTTATCACAGTGAGCTGAGAAGATCTTCATCCAAGAATTTTTGTTTAACTTTTTAAGGTCAAGAACAAGAGGGATGTGGAAAATGATATATGTAGGCCCGCATGCTTTGTGTGTAAATTTGTTTTGGTTTTTAGTCATGCATGAGAGATGAGAAGAAGAAGGCAAGAAGCCGAGAAGTGTTTGGAAGGCATTAGAGTTTCGGCCTATGGAAGAAGCCTCCGCTAGCAAGAGAGAGAAGAGAGAATAGGAATATATGATGGAGATATATTATGGATACGGCTGGATACCTTGTTTTTTAATTAATGATTCTCATGATTGCCTTCCAAAATGATACATTACAAGTATATATACAAATTACAAAGAGCCTTGGGCCGATGCATTACATAAAAATACAACATGGGTTAATAGCTAAGTATACAAAACACTAACACGTATAATTGGGTTTCATCAAAGTTCAACAGCGAGTTGCAGGTGCTTTACAAGTTCGGTTGATGTAACACCAAATTCATCCTCAATCTGCGCCAATAAATTAAAGATAAGAGCACAGCATATTAAACGTCGATGCAAATACTAACTTCCGTTTGAATGCGTGCAGAAACAATGATCAAAGAAAAGAAGTAACGAAACGTCAGAAATACTTAATTTCAAAATTGATGCACTTTCATGTAGAGAACACAACTAAATATTAAAGTCACTATATAATATCTTTAGAGGCATAAAACAGGTAGTTCTATAAAATCTAAATGACCTTTCAGCAATATCGACATTTATTTTGATCAAAATGATTAATTTCACCTGAGCAACAATATTGATTAGAAGGGTGGACTTAGCAAAAGGCATGGCACAGCTACTGATGATCGATAGTCCAAGCTTCTGCATTTGCGTTAACGCTTTCACCAAGGAAGAACATTTTTTCTGACACTGGATTCTTACAAACACGGTTCTTCCTTTCATCACAACTTCAATATCAGGAGATAATCCCTCGAGTTCCTTCACCCGATTTTGAAGTTCTTTTATGTAATTACTTGCATCTTCCAATACAGATGCTTTGTCCATCTACAGCTTGAAAATATTACTGTTAGATTTCTATATGATCATAAAGACTTGAGAAATAGTTGAAAAGGATAAATTTTTAATGCAATTAAGGTTTCAATAAAAAGATAAACACATACGTACCTTCTTAGGGTTAGGAAGTAGGGCAGATAAAGAAATGAACTGCTGATTCAACCTTTCTCTTTTCTTCCTCTCTGCCAAAACATGATCTTGTGTCTGAACCGGATTCTTGGAGATGGTGGTAAACTTTGTGGCATCAGAAGCTTCGTACCCAAATGAATCATGAAGATGGAAGATTTCTTTTTTAGGTTTTAGATCTCCAAAAGAAATGGTAAAAGTGTTTGATGACGGAAGACTAGTAGCAAGAATCGGCTCAAATGTTAGAGATTGTCTGGTGATATTACTGTGCGTCTCTTCTACCTTCGGAAGTTTGATTTCGCAATGTTGAGAGTGAGATGATTGGTTCTTTTCTGTATAGTGTTGTGAGGAGAATGAATCAACACTGAAGTTATTAATGGTTTCATAAAGATTGCAAATCTGATCGGTATTTTCGATTTCCTACAATATAGATCCATAATCCGTTAAAATAAATTCATCAAGATTAGATTTTGTATCCTGATAAAATCAAGATAAGCGAAGTGAAAGTATGTTGCGTACAATTTCTGATAACCAAACCGGTGACATATCCATTACTGCTTCGGAGCTTAATATGTTCAACTCCAGGATAACCTGTGATAATAAATACAGCCATAAATATATCGGGTAAGTTTTGCTTTACTGATCAAGAAAGAAAGAACTGATGATATGGGTTGATTACTACTATGAAGCTCTCGATATTGAGCTTTTCAAAGAATGATCTTCATGGATACTTATGAGTCAGATCATGAAGATAATCCTTAATTTTAGTGAGACTGATATCAAGAGATGGGTGAAAGATTTACCTTTCAAAAAACGTGAAAGTATAGCTTAATCTATTAGGTAAGCATTGTCTTGTATATTCAAATTAGAAAGAGTGAAATTCCTTGGTGTTTATATTGTAGCCTGAAGTCATGTTGAAAGGAATTACTTATCACTTGCTTCCAGAACGTGCGAATTACCATATAATATTTTAATTTTATGCTTAGATGTATGGTCAAAGAAAGCCAATTAATCACACTTTATGGGAGATGATGACATGTTATTTTCAAAACATTTTCAATGTAAAATAATTATTTCTCTTGTAATATTAATAGATGCAACAATATTAATAATAATAATAATAATAATAATAATAATAAATGGAAGCTAGCAACAGTACAAACCGAAAGAGCATATATGTAACAAGCAGACACAGAAAAGGAAAAACTGAAACACAGGAGAATAAAACCAACAAAGAACCAATTTTGGAAGACTTCAATGATAAATCCAAGAACTTTTGAAGACCCCTGACCACAACGTTAATATTTTATTTGGTCAATTCTCCTTTAAACAACTTAATAGAATATAAAAATTTTGTAGATGACTTATTTTATTATCACTATATCACGAGGCTAATTTCCTTTAGTATTCTATATAGGCTCGTCTTTTTGTATCCTATTTTACATTTGCTTTAAAGTATTGTTAGTTTTTTAAAAGTAGTTAACATACAGCTACAATTTATGTAACATGCAAATTCATATATATATATATATATATATATATATATATATATATATAAGGTTAAGTTCAAATGAAAACACTATTTAATGTGACAACGCGATAATACTACTTTATGTTACTATTCTACTATGAATTTAATATGTATAGTATTGTAGTAATTATAATATGAATATATTCAATTTTATATTGTTATTCTATTATAAACTTTTCATATATATATATATATATATATATATATATATATATATATATATATATATATATATATATATATATATATATAGTAATTTAGTAAATTCTAATGTGAATGTTAAATATGTGATTGTTCATATATTCGGCGATGAATAATGTCATAAATTTGTACATACAAAATTTTAATGTAAATACTAATGTGTGATTGTTCGTATATTTATTGATGAATAATGTCATATCGTTGTATATACAAAATTCATAGTAGAATAGTAACATAAAGTAGTGTTCTCACATTCTCACATTAAATAGTATTCTCATTTTAACTTAACCCTATATATATATATATATATATATATATATATATATATATATATATATATATATATATATATATATATATATATATATATATATATATATATTGTAACGACCCAATTTTCACGTCCAAAAATTTCGTTTAAACCTTACTTTAGAAAACATTAATAATTAAAACATTGTTTGATCAAACCACAACACAACGCAAACCATGTTTAAAAGCCAAACCATACAACCCATCAAAATATCAGAGTACAAATCCCAGTGAATCTCGTAAATGCGGAAACCAGAGTGTGTGCATGATGTGCCACTACCGCGCCAGCTCCTTCCCCTTCGAAGAAGAGGTACCTGAAAACAAAACTGTAAAACGTAAGCACAAAGCTTAGTGAGTTCCCCCACTGTACCACATACTACATAATCACATAACATACGTAAATTTGTCAGGCATATCTGGGTGCCCGACCTACCCCTTCGGTCCTCTCGACCGGATACTGCCTCGCATATCTGGGTGCTGGCCTCCCCTTCGGTCCTTTCGACCGGATACTGCCTAGCATATCCGGGTGTTGGCCTCCCCTTCGATCCTTTCGACCGGATACTGCCTAGCATATCTGGGTGCTGGCCTCCCCTTCGGTCCTTTCGACCGGATACTGGGGACTATTTCACCCCCCTACTACTACCACATAACACATATATCACATATTCTAGCAACCCTAGATGAATATCACAAAGACAATCATCTAATCACACTTCTCCTACTAGTGGGCCGGCATTGTGGCCTTAGACCCACCGCTACTCGAAGGCAACTCATCTCAAAGTAGCTGCTGAACTGATCGGGAACTGACTGACCGCTGCTGCTGCTCCGGAACTCCTCCGACTGCAATTCCCACAACATACTCAATCACACACTGCTAACTGTCCTTTGGGTAAAATGACCATTTTACCCCTGGTCTAGGCCTAAGTCAAAATCCGAGTCAACTTTCAGTTGACCCGACTCGCCGAGTTGGCTCTGCAACTCGCTGAGTCCCTATCCAGACGATTGTCCTGAGTCCCTGATTCTACTCATCGAGTTAGGCTATGACTCGACGAGTTCTTCTTCTAAACTGACATTGAAGTTCTTCGTCCTACTCGCCGAGTTGTATGAACAACTCGTCGAGTTCATCTTCATCCGATGAACACTCATGCTTAGACTCGCCGAGTTGTATGAACAACTCGCCGAGTCTGTTCTTGATCTATGAAGATTGCCTTGGACTCGCCGAGCCAGGCCATGACTCGTCGAGTCCTACCATGGGTGAGTTCAGCTTCCAACTCACCGAGTCACCCCCTGTGACTCACTGCTCAAACTCGATACAGCATAAAGGGACCAATTCGGTGACTCGCGAGCAGACTCGCCGAGTCACATGAACGACTCGCCGAGTCGTCGCCATGCATCCATTAAATACACCGATTTGTTCGATTTCAGTCCATGCCATTCATAGATCTGGCTTCTAAGACACGAATCACACGTAAAGTTTCCAACTTTACGTGTAGATATTCACCAATATGGATTTTAGGGTTCAAAATGCCTCAAAAGGGTAGATCTAGGATGAACAAGCCACATGGGTCCATAAAGCTAACAGATCTGAGCTCCTGGAGCTCAATCTTGCCTAGATCTAAAGGCCAATCCACTTATTACAAACATTATGCACAAACAAGCTTGGGGAATTGCTCAAGAGTGTCTTAAATGAAATCTTAAGCATAGAAACAGGGGGAAAATGAGATATACCTCAATGAAACAGCTGAAAAACACAATGATGCTTGGATGGCTCTCCTTCCTCTTGATCTTCTTCCCCTTCTTGCCTCAAAACCTTCAAGAATACACACAAGAGCCTCAAACTCTCAAGGAACAAGCTTAGGACGAGGGTTGGGAGCTCTAGGGGTGAATGGGGGCTGGCAAGGGGTGGATATGAGGTTTAAATAGGGTGCAAACCCCTGAAACTTAGGGTTTCATCCAACAGCGGTGACTCGCCGAGTCCAGGATATGGACTCGCCGAGTCGCCAACTTAAACGTGTCCTGGGTCTCGTCCCTACTCGGCGAGTCGGACCTATGACTCGCCGAGTCCAAGGCTAAAATGGGAAATACTCAAATAAGATTTACATACCAGGAACCAGGTGCTACAAATCTCCCCCACTTATTTTAGACTTCGTCCTCGAAGTCTGCTGCTCGATCCTGAAACAGCTCGAGGTAATGCTCCATCATCTCGTCCATCGGCTCCCAAGTCCATTCTGAACCCTTGCGGTGCTGCCATTGCACCTTCACTAGTTCTACCCTCTTGTTCCTCAAATCCTTCGACTTCCTGTCAAGTATTGTGACTGGGCGCTCAATGTAATTCAAGTTGTCATCAACCTGAATATCTTCCAACGGTACTACCGCTGAATCGTCCACTAGGCACTTCCGCAGCTGAGAAACATGGAAAGTGCTGTGGATCTGACTGAGCTCGGCTGGCAGATTCAGCCTATACGCCACCTTGCCCACCCGGGCTACAACCCTGAACGGTCCGATGAATCTTGGGCCCAACTTGCCCTGCTTCCTGAATCGAATGACGCCTTTCCAAGGCGACACTTTCAGGAGAACCATATCCCCGACTTGGAACTCCAAGTCGGATCGACGCTTGTCGGCGTAACTTTTCTGCCGACTCTGAGCAGTCTGAAGTCTGCTCCGAACCTGCTGGATCCTCTCGGTTGTCTCGAGCACCACCTTGGTGCTTCCCATGACTCTCTGGCCAACTTCACCCCAGCATATCGGGGTTCTGCACCTCCGCCCGTACAACATCTCGAATGGTGGTCGGTCAATACTCGCGTGGTAGCTGTTGTTGTATGAGAACTCAGCCAAGGGAAGATAGGTATCCCAGCTACCACCGAAATCTAACACACATGCCCGCAACATGTCCTCCAAAGTCTGGATGGTCCGCTCACTCTGACCATCCGTCTGCGGGTGAAAGGCGGTGCTAAAATGCAAGCGAGTGCCCAACTCGTCATGAAACTTCTTCCAAAATCTGGAAGTGAAACGCACATCCCTGTTCGAGATCACCGATACCGGCACCCCGTGCCGCGCCACGATCTCCCTGATATAGATATCGGCCAATTTCTCGGCCGATGTGCTCTCCTGAATCGGAATAAAGTGAGCACTCTTGGTCAGTCGGTCCACGTTGACCCAAATCGAATCCACTCCACGCGCGATCCTAGGAAGCTTTGTAATAAAATCCATGGTGATATCTTCCCATTTCCACAGTGGAATGTCCAATGGCTGCATCTTACCATGCGGTCTCTGATGTTCGGCCTTGACCTTCCTGCAGGTCAAGCACCGCTCAACGTACCATGCCACATCCCGCTTCATGCAGGGCCACCAATAGTCCAGACGGAGATCCCTATACATCTTCGTCGCCCCGGGATGAATAGAGAATCGGGACTTGTGCGCCTCATCCATCAAAATCTGGCGACGCCCCGTGATACGGCACCCACACCCTATGGTGTAGTGTCAATAGACCCCGCTATCATAATCAAAGGAGGACACCTGACCCACCACGCGCTCGCTCTTCCGATGCTCCTCCTTGATAGCCTCCTGTTGAGCCTCCCGAATTCGCTCCAATAGGGGAGTCACTACGGTCATCCTCATGCATACGTCCCTGATCGGCGCCGCCTTGCGGCTAAGCGCATCGGCCACCACGTTGGCCTTCCCCGGGTGGTAAAGGATCTCGCAATCATAATCCTTCACCACATCCAACCACCGACGCTGCCTCATGTTCAGATTCGGCTGGTCCATGAGATACCTCAGACTCTTGTGGTCCGTGTAGATGGTACAACGAACCCC